TGCGTTTCGGTTTTCCACCTCCTTAATGAAGCCATACGCGTTTTCAACGGCCTTAACTGAAACACAAAAACTCTATAATTATAAGCTTTCAAAGTGCAGAAGAGTAGTTGAGAATGCATTTGGCCACTTGAAAGGACGATTCCGTCGTGTTGGAAAAGGTTTAGACAACCGTATTGGGAAGGCACCCATCATTATTAGAGCCTGCTGCGTCTTGCGCAATTATTTAAATGAAATGAACGACACTATAAATGACATGTGGTTGGAGAGATTGCAAGAAGTGAACAGAAATCTCGAAAATCCTGAATATGTTACAATAGTTGGAGACAATCAACCCTCAGCTGAAGAAATAAGGCAAGGACTATGCAATTATTTTAGTGAGTACAATTTTTATTTGTTCATTTAATTCATTTTCATTTATTTTTTATTTACAGTGAATCAACCAAATGGCCTCGTGTTGTTTGTTTTAAATATTAGTAATGTTTTTAGAGCTAAATTTCTTTTGTTATTTATCTATAAAAATACCGTCCAAGCTTTAACCAAAACCTTAAAAATCACTTGGGGTATTCACAACGGTGTCGTAAGTGTCATATTGTTGTAAACTTTAAAAGCTTAAATAAATGCTTAGAGAAGTTAAACCCACAACCAACTATTTTTTAACAGTGCGAAAATGCATAATATGACTTTGATGGTACTTTGCGAATCCTTTTGATATATTTCTTAGGCGTTTAAAGTTTACGACATACAACAATACGACACTAACGACACCGTTGTGAATCCCCCCAAGTGATTTTTAAGGTTTTGGTTAAAGCTTGGACGGTATTTTTATAGATAAATAACAAAAGAAATTTAGCTCGAAAAACATTACTAATATTAAAAAAAAAAAAATCAACACGTGGTCATTGGGTTGAGGCACTGTATATACTTTTTGTTAGTTAATAACTGCACTTGAGTCATAGGCAAAAAAATGATTTTTCCGTTTTTCGAAATTAACCTCCGAAATCGAGATATGGGCCTTCGAAGTTCGAAATAGGACCTTTGGTAAAAAATTATATTAAATTATTGCATGTATGTAAATAACTAAAAACCTAAAAATATAGGCGCAGTCCACCTTTAATTTAAATGGTATATAAATTTTTTTGTGCAGACCTATATTACAGGTGCTATAAGGGGTCAAAGTTCAGGTCTTCGAAAAATTAATTTCCTTATATTGCAAACAATTTTGAACTGATTTAAAAAGAAAATATACTGTTGTAAAGGTGATTAAATCCGCTTTCTTTCGATATGCATATTTGTATACATCGTATATAAAACTTTTAGAAAAAACACATTTAAATGAAAAAATACCTTTTTTTATTAAAAAAACATATTTTAAACAAAAAAATTACTAACCGATTTCTAGAAATATGCATATCAGAAGAAAGGGGATTCAATCACCTTTACAACGATACCAATTGTTTAAATATCGGTTAGTCATTTTTTTGTTAAATTTTTTTTTTATAAAAAAAGGTATTTTTTCATTTAAATATGTTTTTTCTAAAATTTTTATATACGAAGTATACAAATATGCATATCTAAAGATAGCGCATTTAATAAATTTTACAACGATGTAAATCTTTTTAAAATCGGTTCAAAATTGTCTGAAATATTAAGTTTTTCATTTTTCGAA